TTCAGTGTTTGACCATCGATGTCTTCGGAGCATTGCCCGAATCTGGTGGGAACACCGGATCAGCAATTCTGAAGTACGTCGAGGGGTATTCGGGAGAAATAAGTCACCCTCGATAGATGAACTGATCACTGCACAGGTTGCGTTGGCTTGGCCACGTGTTGTGTATGCCAGTCGACCGACTTCCTCGAAGGGCTCTTTTCGCCCAACCATGTGAAGGGTGGAAGAGAGCCAGAGGCGGTCAAACAATGACTTGGCAGCGAAGTATGAAGGCCATTACCAGCAAACTCAGCTGCGCTGGTCACTGCCGTCTTCCTGGATGGGGACCCCGAGACGGGCCACATCAATGGCTAGAGACATTATCAGACATGGCCCAGTCGCGCCCTCAGTGGCGCTCGTGCATCCAAGCTATTGCCTTCAATGCATAGCTCCTTTTCCACCCCCCGCTTGACAACTCACTGAAAGTGCTGGATTTATGCACCAATTTACCAGCTCGCGCGTGCAATGCGCAGCTACTTACCCCCCAATCATCGGTGAACGAAACTGTGGCAGCTACAACCAGTGTACGACCAGTACGCGGTTATTACAGCTGATAATGATGATGATGATGGGAAGGGAAATGCTACAAATTCACCCCCTGCGACACAACCTGAAGAGATGGACCAATGACGGTCATTCGCATTGATGAGATTATCAGGCAACAATGAAGGATAAGATTCCGGGGGACCACAAGCCCCTTTAAGGACAAAGTAATCCATTGCAAATTGATTTCTCCAGCAAACCTTAGATGTGGCACAGCGCTCGGTTCCGTACAAACCGCTTGTGTTCAACCCGTCATACCTGAGCTAAGGGTGGCTCAGAGGTAAGGCGCGAAACGACTAACTTGAAGGTCCGTGCCTCGAACCCACCCCTGGCATCTCGAGGCTCTTGTCTGGACGTGAAACTAAGACTTCCAGCTTGAAAAGGTAGCCGGCTTTGAGTGCTGCAATGATCCTGCGAGTTACATTGAGTGGAAATTAGTTCCACAAGGTGCGAGTATGCCAGAAAGGTCAAAGGGGAACGGTCAGACTAAGAGCAGCGAGACTCCGTACTACGAGTAATTGTGTTACGAGGCGGTCTGGGGGTAAAGTAGTACTGTACTCTGCGACAGGAGTGTGAAGGCAGTAAGGTGCTTCTCCCAGATGACCAGCGTGTCCAGATTTATGGAAGCAGCGATGCTGCCCCCCCCCCCCCCGAGGGAGGACGGGTTAGAAAAGGTCAGCCCTAAAAGCCGTAAGCTTTGATTACCCAACGGTTGGCCGTGACCGCCGGCACGTTATTTAACACGGTCTAAATGCTTTTAAAGTCTCTAAAGCCACCTGCTGCACGCAGCCGCATAAACAGCGAGAGAGTAAGGCCTTACTCCCTGTGCCCTCGGGCTAGGACGGCCCCCTGCAGCCGTGCAGGCCAAACTGCTGAGTCATTGGCTCCGGAAAGGTTTCCCCAAGGAAACTCTAACAACCGCCACCTCACAGGTTAGACTTTTGGGTCAGAGTCTCAAAGCAGGATACATGAACTAACCTCCCTTTTTCGATCGGGAAGTAACGTTTGATCTTGTTCACTGGCTCCCCCCCCCCCTCCTCCCAACTCATAGAATGATGAAATGCAGCCACTCCATCTGTCAGTCAGATAATCATAGTTCGCCAGGCAAAATAGACAGAAACACTACGTTACTCATAGAATATGAAATGCAGCCACTCCATCTGTCAGTCAGATAATCATAGTTCGCCAGGCAAAATAGACAGAAACACTACGTTACAAAGCTCAAAAGATCCCATCCACGTTGCAGTCTTTGTTGCCTGTACCATATGTCGAATTGAACGCCCAAGTTGGATAACTACACACACTTGGGTGGCAGAGTTGGAGTCAATGTTCGGCGTACAAATATTGGGGAGTGACTGTTCCAGTTAAGTACTGATAGCCGTGTATCTGGCCAGAACGAACTTCCAGCAACACACATTACATCAAGTAACTTGGAGACCATCAACTGCAAGATAATCATGGAATCATTCGGACCATGTGGCCATTAGTTAGCGATTGAGGGTCTCAGTTAAAGTTTTCCGTTCCTTCTGAGGTACGCAACCTGATTCGGATCGCGTTATTGTACGAGCCCGGTTATTACTTTGCTTGCT